GCACATACGTGTTTAAAAATTATTAGAATGGTAATCGGCATGCAATTTTCTACTCTGATTTTCTCATTCACAATAATAAAATAACAGTTTTTATTGCTATACTGTCCTTAATGATTTTATTGCTAAACTGTCTTAATGGTTTATCATTTTCTACCCAGAAAATATATTATAATAAATTCAACCATGCTTCTTTTATAATGTGAGGAACTTGAATCCATAGGTAATGATTGGTAAGATTCTACATATAAGAAAAAAGTTATACTGAAAACTTTTAGAGAAAGAAGTTATTTAGGTAGTATAAACAGGTAATATAATAACTATCTTTCCAAAAAATCGTACCAAGCTGAGTAGTTGATTGGACCAGGGCTAAGGAAGAGCTGACTTTGTATCTGGGTAATTTTTTTCTAAAGATCATATTTCCCCATTTGTGCTTACACTGTAATGAACCATTTTAGGGTTAAAAAACTCCAGAGGTACGTCGCACATAAACATAGTGCCGTAGGATACACTGGGGAGAAGCAACGGGGTGTGGTGGAAAACATGTGGGTTTTGGAATCAAATGGACTTGGACCGCTGTGCTTTGAAATTTTATGTTCCACAAAAAGACCTGTACAAGAATGTTCATAACAGCTTTATTTATAACAGCTCAAACTGGAAACAGTCCAGGTACACATCAGTAGGAAAATGGATAAATAAACCGTGTCATCGTCACCCATGGAATCCTATTCAGCAATAACAGAATGAACAGAATACACATAAAAAACATGGGTGAATCTCAAAATTCCGCTCAGCGAAACAAGCCTTCTACGAGAGTACATACTTTATGATTCCATGGTATGAAGAGCCAGAACCAGCAAAGGTAACCCATGTGAGAAAAACCCACAGCACTGGTTGTTTCCAGAGGCTGAAATGGGAATTTACTCAGAAGAGATAACAAAGAACTTTCTGGGATGATGGGCATGTTCTGTAACTTAACAGAGCTTTGGACTGTGCACATGAAATCATGTCATGGTACCCTTAGGATTTGTGCACTTTGTTGTTTGTAAAATGTCTCAAAGTGAAAAAAAAAAGAACTAAAACAAATAAATATTGAACTCTAGGGAATGATACCCATCCCAAAGTATTTCAACTTACTTTGAAATTCATAAATACTGAGGCACCTGGGTGGCTTGGTCGGTTAAGCATCCGACTTGGGCTCAGGTCATGATCTTGAGATTCCCAAGTATGAGCCCTACATCAGTCTCTCTGCTGTCAGCTCTGAACCTGCTTTGGATCCTCTGTTTCCCTCTCTCTGCCCCTCTCCTGCTTGTGCGAGCATACACAGGCTCGCTCTGTCTCAAAAACAAACATTTAAAAAAAAGAAATTCATGAAAACCAGGATGGATCGATGGATGGATAGAGGGATGGATATACAAGTCCAAGAGCAAGCATGTTGTAAAATGTTGACTAGAGAATCTAGGTTTTCCTGTGTTATTGCAAATTTTCATGATAAAACATTGCAAAGTACTTTTTGATCTTGGGCATGCTCATAAACTTCTCAAGTTCGATTTCTGCAAATGGGGGTCATAGTATTTACTTCACAAAGTTGTGATGTTAAGAAAAAAAAACTCGCCACAAAAATAGGCCTGGAATATAGTAGGACATTCACGTGCCTGGCAATGCTTCCGGCCTTGTCTCTGGTCCCCTCTTACCTATCTTGCCAATTTATCAGCCACGATATGTCTTTTAGGATTCCACAGCATGATCTACAAGCAGGGGGTCTAAAACGGTGTGTGGCATAATTATTGGGGTTATAAGGAACAAACTGTGTGCTGTCTGCTAAGATCTATTTCTTGGGGGTGGGGAACAGCTTTTAAGGATAGCAGTGGCTCCAACTCCATGGAAGAGGGACAGAAAGCCGATGGTGATACTTGTTCCAAAGATATTAACGGAAATGAGAGAGGAAGGCCAGAGTGTTACAGGCAATCATCAAATGGGTTTTGATACCTAAAAAGTAAACAGGTCTTCAGCTCACTAAAAGCTTCATTTGTGAGCACTCGCTTATTTCAGATATACTGATCAAGGATTTATACAGCATGGCTGGTATTGTGCCAGGACCTGGGGGGACAGAGATGGACGAGGGCACACCCAGACGTAGGTACGTGTTCTCTCGGAGTTTGCATTCGAACAGTGCTAGCATTGGTTGCATTTACAGGGATCAGCCTGCTAGCCAGCAAATATTTACTGAATATTCACTTGGAATACCATAATGAACGAAACATGCTCCATACTCTCGTAGAGCTTGCTATCTAGCAGAAAAGGCAAAGTTGATCGATCTACACCAAGAAATACATTATAAATTATAAATGTGCAAACTATGATGAAGAAATACAGGTTACTTCAGGAAACTTAGGCAGAAGAATATTCCCCTGTAGCCCAGGTGAAAGGAATCTCCTCCCTTTTCTCGGAGTTAAGAGAGTGAGGCGAGCACAGGACAGACCGGGATAGCCACGGCTCACATCAGGGCAACAACGGAATGAGGAACAGAATTAGTTCTACCAGGAGGCAAGGTAGTCAGTCACATTGTTTGCTCATTCCTTTTGGTTTCTTGTTGGATTATGCCTTAGGAATTCCAGTAGAGTTCGACCATGAAAGTAAAGCGAGAATTGCTTTTAACCAGACTTAAAGAATTCTAGAATTAAGTTTGTCTTCTCTCTGATCAAAGACTACAGCAAACACCCTGACACTTTCATGATGCCCACAAGCCGCTGGAGGAGACGCAGGGCCCGGGATCATTAAACAAGGCGATTACACGATTGACCAAGTGCAAGAATATGTCCTCCCCTCCACCACTCCCCGCCAATTGAGGTCACTGGTTCTGAGCAGAAAAGGGAGAAGCAAGGGCACGCGGGTGGTGGCTCAGTCGGTTAAGTATCTGACTTTGGCTCAGGTCATGATCTCACAGCTGGTGAGTTTGAGCCCCGCCTCGGGCTCTGTGCTGACAGCTTGGAGCCTGGAGCTTGCTTCAGACTCTGTGTCTCCCTCTCTCTCTGCTCCTCTCCCCTTCATGCTGCGTCTCTCTCTCTTTCTCAAAAATAAATAAACATTAAAAAATTTTTTTAAAGGTAGAAGCAAAGAGAATATGGAGAGCTGATGAGAGATGTATGTGTGTCACAGATAAAAAGTACAGCTCTTACAATCATAACACCTTCTGGGAACAAATTAAAACTAAAGCATCATTGCACTACGCATTCTTCGGTGGGGACAAGCTGATCCGGGGGTATATTCACCTCTGAACCAGGAGGGGGCTGGGCGATATCTGGAGAGCTTCAGCAGGGTCAGCATACATATGACAGGTGCACGGTAAATACTAGTCGAGTTCCTACAGGTTTGTTTCCATTCGTTATGTGATTCCTGGACAGATAAAACAAATATAAAGCGATCTGGTGATGAGCGAAGGAAAGATACACATGATAAGTTACTTCACAGTTGTGTTATGATCCAGCCGAGGCATCAAAAGTGAGTCCAGAGTGGTTCAGCTTCTGCCGACAGCACAGATCGGCCTCTCCGTCCAGGGAAGTGACTAGGTCAAAAGGGCATGTTTCAGGGCGTCTTCCTAAAATCAAGAAAGGCTGATGAGGGAAGGAAGCCAAGAAAGTCAGAGAAGGAAAGGCTGGGAAATTCGGATGTAGGAGTACATTAGGCTGCCTGGCTTTGCAGTCTCAGCCCCGCCACTAAAGTAGCTGTGACACTTGAGGCAACTTTCTCAGCGTCCATTGCCTCTTCTGTAACACGGGTACCTGCCTCACAAGTTGTTGTTGTTGCTGTTGTCGTTTCTCAGAAGAATCATCTCCAAAGAAAAGAATCATCTGAGTTAATACCCTCGGCACAATTGCTGGCACATAGTACGTGCTCCGTAAATTTTCGTTTTCACGCCTAATGATTTTCTAAAACGATCCCAATTTCCGAAGATTTTTCGCGAAACACGACTTGCTGAAACATACAGCCGAAGGTAAAACATCACAACTCTGTAAGACCTTTTTATCTAAATAATATTCACCAATCGGGGGGCAAAATCTTCTTCTCACTCCCTGATTTTGTTTCCGAGTCTATGGCCACCACACTCACACAATGGGTCATCGGTCTGACGTCTCTGAATTGGAAACACCCTCCTCCCACAAGCAGGCAATCACACAACCTGATGAAGATTGGGGGCGTGGGGGGGGAGCGGTTGGTTCCTCTCATAAAGACAACTATGCATAAATAAACTGGATTACTTTGCGATCATCCCAGGGTATAAAAAGTCGAAAGAATCTATGCCCTATGAGTTCATGCACGCTTGGTCTCGGGCCTGGATCCGTCTGACGGGCCTTGTGGAGGAAGAGTGCATACCACACTCACCTAGAGCAAAATCAGGCCGAAACAGCAAAGCTGTCTTATGCTTTGTTTAAATGGTGAGTATCACGACTCTTGGAGTAACAGCCTTGCTGAAAAACTGCCACACTTTTCCTTCTGGTATGTCTTTGCATAAATTGTCCCCCTCTCTGCAAGATTAAGTGATACCATCTGTGAACATTCTGGGCCGTCCCTCTCAGCTTCCCTTTAAATCTGCAGGTTTCTCTTCTCTGCCTCTTTTCAAAGGTGCGGGGCATACAAGAGCTCCCCCCCCCCCCCCCCCCCCACCAACCCCAGCTTGCGGCCAAACCCTGAGCGCCCCGGCCTTTTAACCCCTTGCTTCCAACTCCGCATCTGAAGGCAAAAACAATCCTCGGAGACACGGCCCTCCCACTGCGTCTGATAGGCTGCTTGCAAATAGCAACAGCCTGTGTCACCGAAAAGGGCAAAGCCTTCGGAAATAGAAACAAAGTTGGTTACAAATCACATTGGCTTTGCCCGAAGTTTTTTTTTTTTTTTTCCACCCTTCTTTAAGCATGCTACCATGGGGACAGTGACCGCCGCTGTCACGGGGGGCAGCCGGGGTGGTTCGGGGCCGCGGGAGCGGCTGTAACTTCTCCGCGACCATGGTACCTGTTGAAAACAGAGAGGGCCCCGCTCTGCTGAACCCGAAGGGGAGAGCGGCCGAGACGGACGGCAGCGGCGCGGCCAGCGGCAGCCGGCATCCTCCCGGGGCCAGAGGTAAAGTGAGGCACCGACCGGCTGGAGGAGCAAGCTGTGCTCGGGTCTCGCGCGCGCGCGCACACACTTTTTCATTGATTGCCACAAATGGGCAATCTGTAACGAGGGAACATGGAGAACCACCATGTTTTAAGTCAGTATTTTAAGTAGGCTCTGGAAAATTGTTAGTTACGTAATCAATGAACATCAACTTTCTTTTTTAACTTCCCAGCGTCTAGTTGGTTATGCATTTGAGCATTTGAGCCTTAGGGAGGCCTCAAACCTGTGCTCCGTTTGCTCCTGCCTAACTGTCAAACTGGCCTTTCAAACTGAGCGTCCTTGAATCCTTTTTCCTTCTGGAGGCGCAACTGGAAAAAGTTTTAATTCATTCCAGTTATCTTTGCTACAGCAAATGCTTTCCTTCACTTAAACATTTACAGTTCCCACAAACGCACTGCAAGCTCTTGGCTAGCCTTTCCTACTCTGTTAGTTGGTTCCCAAAGGAATGGAAACTAATCGTAATAGGAAATTAAATCGAACACAGATAATTGTCTCTCTGAAGCTTTCCTCAGCTCTGTGCCCCTTCACCATGCCTACCATAGATTCCCAGGACATTTATTGGAATGGCCAATGTGAAAATGGCCAGTTTTCATGAACAATCCAGAACACTAACTGATTCAAAAGGCATGTGCCTCTCACCTTGCAGTGGATCTATCAAATCACGTTTGCGTCGTGGGTCTGTCTGATCTTGGACTTGAATCCACGACCCCTCTGACGGAGGCATGGATTGGCTCTTCCACAATGAGAGGCTGTCATTCTTCTCTGCCCTGTTCCCCCTCAGCTTCCTCCTACTTCCCCACTTCTGGTCCAGAATGAGTACCTGAGGTCATCCTTCAGGACGGCCTCTCCCTCGCTTAAGCAGAACTACCCCTTTCTCCAAGGGTGCTCTCTGGCTCCTACGTCTCCAAGCAGGCCAGGGAAGCTTGTATTTGAGGGTAAAGGAAAGAGTTGCAATGTTCTCTCCGAGTTCCTGAAAGACTGAACCGCTGAGCTTGCTCAGGTGGCCATGTCAACAAAAGGGTTCGCTAAACAGCCCGTGAGAACGTCACAAAGAGGATGAAAAGAAACTTTGTCCTGAAGGGGCCTCCACGGCAACAATTAAAAATATGGACTATTTAATTCTGATATGGCTTTGAAAGCACCATGTACTCTTAATAGGTTAAATTGCGCAAGGTCACGGTCATCCTGAAGGAAGGTCACAGGTGTTAGTGTTCGGAAAGGCACAAGATTCAACTGACAATGCAACTGGTTTCCAAAGAAATGATAAAATGAATAAACACGGTAAATTATTTTTTAACTTAATTGTAAATGAACCTTTATTACGTAGAAAAGAAAGGAAGCCTAAACGTCTCCCCCAAATCTTAAATGAATAAAGCTTTGATTTGTGCTAGATGGATACAAACATTTTAGATTTATTAGTACAAATTTTCGTAAGTTGTCTCAGACACGTCGTGGTATCCAAGGCAATTATGTGTATGGACTTGTACCTACGGAAGGCATAGTGCAGGCTCGCTGTACGATTTGGGATTATACTGTAGTCTGTTTTATGAAAATGTTGAGGTTTTAATGAAATGATGTGTGTCGAATCGTTCTTTTGACCTCTTTGTACATTCCCATAGTTTCATCCAGGAAATCCAGAGTATTTACGTATGCTCAATAATTACCATCCTAGTCCTGCATTTGAAGATACAAGTTTTTCTGTATTCCTAGATGGGGAAATTAAAGCACAAAGACGAATGAGTCATACAACCCAGGACAAAGTAATTAGATCATGTGAGATACTGAGAAACAAATCCACACAAAAATTTCCAGACTCCATGTTAGCGCCTCCTAAGGCTCTTACGCCCAATAAAAGTGTTGGCAGATCTCACCCCGGGAACCTCCTCTGAAACTGGAAAGAATTCTTTGTTCCATTGACTGCAAGCTAACGAACTTAAGTCCATTTTCAATCAGTTACGACATAAAGCGTGTATGTTTTTAGTAATTTTTTTTAGTATTCACGGGCATGTTATAACTGACCTTATAGGCAGCGTTAAGCTCAATACGTAATCCTGGTGCCTAGAGCCGACCGCTGTGTAGGTGATATTAGAAAAGCACAGTGCTACAACATCTCACACAAGTGAGAGAGGATGTGTGGTTGGCCCAGGTTCTCACAGGGCTGGTGCAAAACTCACCCTGAGGTCTCTGGCCTGGGGGGCTGGATGCCTGTTCCTCTGTCTCAGCAGATGGGTCTTCCAGACTCTTCCAATTTCATGTTTCTTTCTTTCTTTTTTTTTTTAATGTTTATTTGTTTTTGAAGGGGAGAGAGAGAGAGAGAGACAGAGCATGAGTGGGGAAGCAGAGAGAGAGGGAGACACAGAATCCAAAGCAGGCGCCAGGCTCCAATCTGTCAGCACAGAGCCCGAGGCGGGACTCGAGCTCACAAGCTGTGAGATCATGACCTGAGCCGAAGTCTGACACTTAACCGACTGAGCCAGCCAGGCGCCCCTCCAATTTCATGTTTCAGATCAGGCTAAGAGGAGTTTCCTTGAGGCCCTTTTTACCCCACCAGCACCTGCCCAAAGGATCAGAGACCAAGAACAATATTCACTGTATGAGTGCAAGTTCTCAAGCAATGGAGCCCCGGCTGCCCGATGCACTGGAACCCAGATCAATATAACTGGCTGGACTCACTGGCCCAGTTGAAGGGGCTGGGCTTCGTCCCCCCTGAGACCCTTCTAAATCCAAAATGCCACAGGCTGAGATTTAAGAAATGTACACTTGGGCTAATCAGATGAGTATCCAAAGGCAGTTGTTTTCAAACTTGTTTAAAGCTGTGAAACTCCTTTCGACAAAGGAAAAGCTGAAGTAGGTGGTCAGCATGTAAGAGAGGTAATCATGGCACCTCTTTAGTGGAAAGGGGGGTGAAGAAAAGGAAGAGCCTGAGGCGGGCTGCTCCCTGATCCCTTCCTATCTCCTGTAGTCCTGAGCTGGGTCCTGGGTGGGACCACATTAGCAAACCACAGGTCTGTCACTACTCTGGTTATGCAGGCGATGTTTTTGATGGTGGGGCATTTTTACTATGCTCTTACTGAGTCTTGGGTTCCCAGGGTTAGCCTGAACCAGGCCCCCTTAAACTCAGTCAGGCCCAGCTCTCTCAGGCTTCCTTGGGCAGCCCGATGGACAGTCTACCTGTAAGAGAGTTGAGCAGACTTTAGAAGGAACCTTGTCCCCAGGGAAGAGCAAGTCAGGCCAATCAACTCGACCCCTTAACAGAGCCTTGGTTGTGAGAAGGGCAAGTCTAACAGCAAACCAGTCATTTTGGGAAGGCCCAGGTCTTAGCCATTAGCATTTTCCCAGGCTTTCCCTACATTAAAAAGTGGCAAAACCTGTGACACAGATTATTGTGCTTTAAACACACAGGCATTTAACAAATTGATGACTGATAACAATAAAAAAACTATTCTATACAGCTTGATATTGCCAAGGAAATGGCAGGCTTGATAGACATGTGAATCTCTGAGAGACTGTCGACTCTTTTGTCTGGAAATAAGAACAGATTTAAAGACGATTATCTCCCTTTTCACTTCGGTCAGCTTATCTCTATGACTGTACATTTAACCTCACTTGAAAATCACATCAAAAGCCTCAGTTTGAGGCTCCTTGTGACTGTGAGGGCCAGGCAAATGGCTTCTCTGAGATCTAGGGAGAGAGAAGGCTCTGAGCCAACATGGCGGAAGCTGTTTCACCACAGACTCCCGGTAGTGTTGGGCTCACACAGCCAGGGCTCTTGTTTCCCTTTGAAATGGCTGTGCCCTAGAGAGGGCAGAGAGGTTGCTGCTTCCACAGGCTACCCCCTGGCTGCCACCACAGCTGCGGACATGCACTGGAGGGAGCCTGCAGGAGGCAGGGCCTGGCAGACATGGATGAAGCCTTCAAGCGGTGTGACTGACCCGGAGGACTGAAATCAGTCAGCAGACACATTGTGCCTGAGCTGGTTTTACAGCTAATGCCTCTTCTGATGGGTCAGTGCCCCATCACCGTTGTGAAATATTTGTAATATCACGCATAGTCTGGTCAGATTGCTCGCAGGAGCTGAGGCCTCTGAGATCCCAGGAACATGCCTAGTGGTAGTCCTTAACTTCTACTGTTTGTGAATTTTCAAGGGGGTACTTTTTGGTGGGCTAAATCTTATGTTAGCAGGTAAAAAAAAAACAGACAGACAAACAAACGAAAACAAAACCAAAAACACCTCAAAATAAACCCACCCGGTAGCTGCCCGAGGAAAACTCCAATTTAAATGTGTAAATCCAAGGGGAGTCAGCCAATTTGAAAATGCAATGTTTAATTGCCGTAGATAGGTGGGACTGTCTTCTCGTTCAATAATAGTTGTTGAATCTGGTTTTGTAGGTAGCGTTTTCTCAGTAGTAGGAACCAAGTAATAATTAGCCTCAGGGTTTAAAAAGTTCTGAGAGCTCCCAGTTGCCCCCCGCCCCCTGTTAGTGTGCAATTAGTTTCTGCTTCTCAGCAAAACACCTACTGACTCAGACTGTGAGCCAGAACTCGTTGTAGAAGATTCTTAAACTGAGCAGAGTTGGGTTCCCTAGTTCAATGGTTTCCTCGGGCACAGTCTTCCCCAAGAAGATGAGTTATTGAATAAAATAGAGAATAAAAGCCATGTAAAAAGATACCAAGATACGGTGAGAAAGGGGGGGGGAAGGTTAGAATGGGCTTCATTTCAAGGGGCTGTTTGACCAAATACCAAATAAGGATAATTTCTCATCCCGTCTTCCCTCAGAAGGTACCTAATCTCTGTTAAAGGCAAAGGACTTGAAATCACCCCACATAGTTCCCAGCTGAAACTTAGAGTCAGCTATATAACCTTTACAGTAAATCATAAAATCGTACATGTTTTTTAAAATTTAATTTTGTTTTCTTTTGGCTCATTGGTACCGTTTTACTTCCTATGTCACAGCACTGCT